CTGTAACACTTTTAAAACGAAGTACAAGCGCCGAGATTATACAGTTGGATAAGTCACTGAACACAGTCTTACCGGAAGAGGTCAGTGATGATGGAAAACAAGCCGCTTCTGACCTTGAAGGTCTTCGTCAATTCCGTTTCACAGAAAACAAAACCTTACTTGATAGTTTAAACTCTGACAGCATCGGCTCATTTGTAACCTTTGTGAATAAAACTATCGCTCATCAGTCAACTGCCGAAGGAAAAGGAATCACTGAAGCGATTGTTGGACTTCAATCAAACTTTTTGCTAACAACACGAAATGAAGTCGGAGAACAATGTTACCATGAGCGTGACTGTGTAATGGTGGAAATCAAAACTCAGCAAGGCCATGACTGTGCCACGGAACTGCGAGTCCAAGATAACAAAGATGGTAGCTACGAAGTCAGATATTTCCTCAAAGATACAGAAAAATGCCAACTATCAGTGAAAGCAAATGGAGAACATATTCGTGGCAGTCCATTTAATATTGAGACGAAACCCAGACAGTTTAGACCCTTGTTATCTTTTGGAAAAGGAGGATTGCTTTCCGGTCCATATGGAGTGGCAGTGAATGAACGAGATGAAATTTTAGTGACTGACACTAATAACCACAGGGTTCAAGTATTTAATAGTGATGGAACTTACTTAAGATCTTTTGGTAAGAAGGGTGATGAACAGGGAGAGTTTGATTGTCCTTCTGGCATAGCACATGATAAGAATAAGAACATAATTGTTGTGGACACTAATAATCACCGCGTTCAATTGTTCAGTGATCAAGGCGAGTACCTGAGCCAGTTTGGTGGCAAAGGAAATCTTGATCACCAGCTGACTAGTCCTCGTGGTTTATCTGTTGACTGTAATGGAAATATCATTGTTGCCGAAGACGACCAAAAATGTATAAAAACTTTTTCATCCCATGGCCAGTTTTTGTATAAACTTGGTGAGGGTGAAGGTGAAGGTGAAGCGTTTACTGCTCCTCGTCACTGTATTCAATATAACAAACATCTCATAGTGTCAGACAGTGGTGAACATTGTATCAAAGTGTTTGATATAAATGGCGATTTTTTGTACAAATTTGGAAATAAGGGAAACGGGGATGGGCAGTTCAATGGACCTCGTTTTTTGTCAGTTAACAAGGCAGGACACCTGATGGTTTGTGATAGAAACAATTACAGAGTTCAGGTATTTGAACTGAGTGGTAAATTTGTAACAAAGTTTCCAAACAGAGGTTATGGGCAAGTAGTGTTCTACTGTCCAACATCTACAGCAGTTCTTAGTGATGGCAGGATAGTTGTGGTTGATTGGATGAACGCTCGTATTGAGATACTTGGGTAAATGTTGATAAATGCAACTTCTGTTACATTCAAGCTTTGGAGTAATTCTGAAAAAAGCTGCATCACAACACCTAGGTTTTTTTTTCTTTCTGGTTTGAATTGGTGTATCATATCGCTCATTTGTAATCTTAAGATTCTAGTTTCTTAGGGAGGGCAAACACCTCAGATCGAAGACAAATTGTTGTGATAGTGCTCTAGATTCTAGTTTGTTAGGGAGGGCAAACAATAGAGATTGAAGAAAAATTGTTGTGATAGTGTATTCACTATTGAAAGAGAAGCATCAATCAATAAACTGAGTTTGATCGAATGAGGAAAGTAAGAGTCTGTTTGAGAGTGTTCAGCTTTCTAGTGTTATTTACATAACTTTAAACAACAGGGTTGTGCAGCTCAGTTAAAATTATTTCGGGAAATGGAAGTTCAGTTCCGTTCGGCTAAAATCCGGCTCGTGAGGGAAACCTCCAAACCATATTCCGGCTTACAACAATGTACAGATGATAAGCTTTTAGGATCACACGTTTTTCCCTCTGACTGATTCTTATGAATGAGAGTGAAAAAATTCCACTTTTTCTTAACTATCTGGACAGCCACTTACCACGTGTTTGTTTTATCATTGGAAGGTGCAAGGGCTCTTACAACTGTAAAAATGTTTTAACTATCAGTGACTCGAACAGTATTCTTGCTCCCTGTGTTTAAGGGCGATCTATTTCCCTATGTGGTCAAAGAGGAAGGATCAGTTCAATAATATGTTTGAAAACCTTCAAAATATTTCCAAAAACACAAGTCACTCAACACATCTCAAAACAACAATCGAAAGTTGCGAGTTCAGTTTGAGTTCAATTCTGAACCGACTAAACTCCTACAGCCTTGCTTAATCGTTCGAAACAACGAAAATGATTTTGTTTCTCTTCTTCCCAAGTGAAGAAGATTTTCATACCTCGCAGTGAAACCACTTCTTTATCGTACCTCTTTCCCTCACGATCTAAAGCTCTCTTCAAAGTCAAGATTTCCTCCAGCCACTTCTCTTCGGTAGCAAACCCTTCAAAGCTCGATACGTAAGCAAAATCCTCGGCCATATCTTAAATAAACAAGCCACCTTCGCTTAGAGCTGGAGGCCGGTTTGAATTTTCATAGGGAAGATGAAGCTATAGGATGAACTCTCTGACGCCCAATTTCTGTCTTCTCGGAAAACCATTCGCAGTTTAGGCGAAAATGAAGATAATTTCATTTTTTTTCTTCGCTAGTAAAGATTTTTGGATCTCTCCACTGCAACCACTTCTTTATCGTATCTCTTTCCCTAATTATCTAAAACTCTCTACGAAGGCGAGATTTTACAACCTCATCTCTTCGGTAAAAAACCTTTCGAAGCTTGACACGTACTCAAAATGCTCGGTTACATTTTGAATAACTAGCAAGCCAGCTTGGCTTGGGGCTGGCGGCCGGTTTGATACGGTACGACAAACTCGCTGACGCCTAACTCTCTCTTCTCTCAAATTTCATCTGCAGTTTGGGTGTACGGGTCGACTCGATCGATTTTTCAAGCACATTAATCTCCATAGAATAGCGAGGGAGAATACTCTCACCTTTGCCAAGCGCCTACTTGAAGTTTCATCTTTCCTTACGCGTAGAAATTCACGTCGCATGTTCATTCTGACGATACTCGTGGTCTTTCGTGAGGTTCGTGACCAGAAACCTTGGACCATGTTTCCCTCGTTTCGAAATGTTTCTTCCCTCTTGGTTTCTTCATCATCCACTGAATTCTTATACACATACTCCCATCCTGATTAACCATCTCTCAGGCGATGCAATCCTCGACCCCTCTCACTAGTACTATGTAGTATTTTTCCGACCTAACAAATCCCTTACAGGTTTACAACAGTCAGGTTATGCTTACAAGTTCATGATGGCCTGTTTTCCTTTTTAATTGAAAAGTAATAGTAGCATAGTAGCAGCGTGAACAGAAAATGTCTTCTTGTGGAATTTTACATTAAACATTTTTATTTTCTTTAGTAAAAGTATATTTTCGCGTCTCAGTTTTGCAATCATTTAATAAGGGGCTGTTACCGGTCAAGCTTTTCTTAGAAATAACCTCTCCACAGACCTATGTAAACGATTCTTAGAGCCCAGAAATCTGCATCCTGTATAACCTGCCTTAATTGGTTGATATCATTAACGTGATAATTGTGATAATTTTTCAACTCGAAATCTCTGCGTCAGTTTCTTGTACTCGATCATGAATATCAAAACCTTGCTTGACAATCTTCACGATGAAGTATCCTGTTCTGTGTGTAGGACTTCATTTACTGAACCAAAGATTCTGCCATGTTTGCACAAACAGGATCTTACGAACGAGTGGCCGTCACGATGCATTTCTCTGTCCTGAATGCCGAAGAGAAGCTCAAGTCCCTAGCAGTGGACACCTCAAGGACACCCACAACTTTCGTATCAACAGTTTGCTAGCTATCTGCTGGCCATCAAAGAATGCCATACTACTGGAGTGAAATGTGGAAACTGCGACAAATGTAGCAGACACAGTTCGTACTGTTTTCAGTGCTGTCCGTTCTGGTGTGACGAGTGTATCATTGCGCATAACTTGATCAAAGAGAATAAAGAGCATCGATTTCTTGTTCTGAATGATTTTAAAGATCAAGACATCGAGGATGTATTGAAGCGGCCAGCATTTTGCCAACAGAAGCATCACGAAAAAGAATAACTCAAGTTCTTTTGCAAAACTTGTGATGTTCTCACTTGTAATTCTTGTCGGCTGCAACCATCCACGATGGTCATGCAAAGATTCTTTTAGAACTGAAGAAGCAGCGAGTGAACACAAGTTACAAGTCAAGTCTTTGATCGAGTCGCAAAAGGAGAAAACTGAACAGAAGAAGAACGAAATCGTCGTACTTGAAAGACTTTGTAACCATGTTGAAGTGCGAGCCGATGCAGTGAAACGAGTATCCACAAATTTACTGAAAACATGATCGCAGCCATTGAAGCAAAAATGAAAGAAATGTTAAACAAGGTCGAACTCCGATAAAGAGCCCCTTGAATGTGTGCGAACTCAATAATGCAAGGTAAAGTGTCAAGTCAAACTGCTAGAAACAGTAGTTGAAAAAACTGAAACAATATTCAAACATAGTACAAACACCGAGATTACACAGTTGGATACGTCACTGAACACGGTCTTACTGGAAGGGGTCAGCGATGATGGAAAACAAGCTGCATCTGACCTTGAAGGTCTTCGTCAATTCCGTTTCACAGAAAACAAAACATTCTGACAGCATCGGCTCATTTGTAACTTTTGCGACTCAAACTCTCGCTCATCAGTCAACTGCCGCACGAAAACGAATCCCTTAAGCGATTGTTGGACTTCAATCAAACTTTTTGTTAACAACACGAAATGCAGAGGGAGAACAATATTACCATGAGCGTGACTGTGTAATGGTGGAAATCAAAAATCAGCAAGGCCTTGACTGTGTTACAGAAGTGCGAGTACAGCATAACAAAGATGGTAGCTACAAAATCAGATATTTCCTCAAAAATACAGGAAAATGCCAACTCTCCGTGAAAGCAAATAAAGAACATATTCGTGGCAGTCCATTTACTGTTGAGACGAAACCCAGACAGTTTAGACCCTTGTTATCTTTTGGAAAAAGAGGTTCGTCAGTTGGAATGTTTCGCTGTCCATATGGAGTGGTAGTGAATGAACGAGATGAAATTACAGTGACTGACACTAATAAACAGAGGGTTCAGGTATTCAGTAGTGATGGAACTTACCTAAGATCTTTTGGTAAGGAGGGTAATGAACAGGGCCGAGAGTTTCATTGCCCTGCTGACATAGCACATGATAAGAAGAAGAACATAATTATGGTGGAGACCGACAACCACCGCGTTCAATTGTTCATTGATCAAGGTGAGTACCTGAACCAGTTTGGTGGCAAAGGAAATCTTGATCACCAGCTGAGTAATCCTGTTGGTTTATCTGTTGACAGGAATGGAAATATCATTGTTGCCGATAAGGGCAACAAATGTATAAAAACCTTTTCATCCAATGGCCAGTTTTTGTATAAACTTGGTGAAGGTGAAGCTTTTACTGCTCCTTCTCACTGTATTCAATATAACAAACATCTCATAAAGTCAGACCTTGACGAACATTGTATCAAAGTGTTTGATATAAATGGTATTTTTTTGTACAAATTTGGAAATAAGGGGAACAGGAATGGGCAGTTCAATGAACCTCATTTTTTGTCAGTTAACAAGGTAAGACACTTGATGGTCTGTGACAAAAACAATCACAGAGTTCAGGTATTTGAAATCAGTGGTAAATTTGTAACAAAGTTTAGAAAAGAAGGGAGTGAGCCAGGAGAGTTCTGCATGGCAACATCTACAGCGGCTCAGTAATGATGGTAGGATAGTTGTGGCTGTTTGGTTGAACAACTGTATTCAGATATTCGTTTAAATGTTGATAAATACAACTTCCGTCACTTTAAGCCTTTAAAGTAATTCTAAAACCAGTTGATTACTTTTGATCTGAAATTATTTCCCAGACAAGCTTCTGGTTGTAGTCTTTGTTAAAAGAACATTTTAGAACTTTGGTTCAGTGGATTCGGTTTATCTGTTGACAGGAATGGAAATATCATTGTTGCCGAGAAGGGCAACCAACTTCTGAAAACGTTTTCATCCAGAGTTCAACCTGCCGATATCTAAAGTAGCTCTGAGTGATGGTAACATAGTTGTGGCTGATTGGTTCAACCATCGCATTTAGATATTTGGGTAAATGTTGATAATTACAGTTTCCGTTACATTCAAACTTTGAAGTAATTCTGAAAATAATTATTTTCTTCTAATCTGAAGTTATTCCCCACACAAGCTACTCGTTGTAGTCTTAGTTAAAAGAACATTTTAGAACTTTGAGTCTAGATTCGATTGGGCTCATTGTAGTTATAAGTTCACACCTAGGGGTTTCTATCGTGGTAATCCTAAAAAATTAATAGTATTTTTTCGAAAGTATGTTGTTTTCCGTTAATGAATGAAAGTACTTTTTGAACTTGTAGGAAAGGCCACTAGTAAAACAAGTAGTGAATTGCAATATTTCATGTTTTGTTCCATGAGTTCAGATGGACAACACTCTCATTTTGCCTTTGTTGTTCCCTCTATTTCTTTCTAAAGGCTCGTCCTTTGGTTCACTTGTTATAACTAAATAATGCCAGTGTATTGGCGTATAGTTACGTGAAGCTGCATGATGGCAAAGTGCAGTTTAACTAATCAATGCGGTGTGATGCACTTTTTTATGAATAAGGCTGTGTTTGCCGAGAAACTCATTGTAACGTTTCAAAGAGCTCCGTCAAGATACTTTAAAGTTTTGTTTGTTTGCTTGTTTTTATTCTTGTAAAATTATCTTTCATCGGTAATCGTTAGGTTCTAATTTGGAAGAAAGGGCCAACACCAGAGATCGACGAAAAATTGTTATGATAGTGTATTCATTATCGAAAGAGAAACATTATTAAATAAAATTGTGATGGAAAGAAGAAAGTATAAATCCATTTCAGAGAGTTCAGCTTTTTAGTTTAATTTACATAACTTTAAACGACAGGGTTGTGTAGTTTGTTGGGAATTCTCCGGGTTAGCGGTGAAGTTGAAGTAGTGACTCAGATGTTTATCACATTACAAAGTTCAGTTAAAATTAATTCGGCAAATGGAAGTTCAGTTCTCGTGAAGTCTCGCGAAAGGAACGTCCAAACTATACCCCTAACGACAATTTATTAGATAATTAGCTTTTAGGACCGAACAACATAAAAGGATTTATTACAAGTTTTTCTCCTTGAATGATTTTGATCAGAGTGAGATTGAAAAAATTCGCTCTTTTTTCTTAACTGTCTGTGTGGCCACTTAGTCTGATGATTAAACTTGTTTGTTTTATTAATGGGAGGTGCAAGGGCTCTTAAAACTGGTTCAAGTAAAAATTTTTCAACTATCGGTGACAATGAGTAACAGTACATTGAGTGTACTTGTTCCCTGTGTTTTATTTCCCTCTGTAGTCAAATAGGAAAGACTAGTTCAATAACATTTTTGAAATCCTTCAAAATATTTCCAATAACACAATTCTTAAAATAAGAATCGGAAGAGTTACAAGTTCAGTTTGAGTTCTATTCTGAACTACACTTCTTTTAGCCTCACTTAATCGTTCGCAACGACAAATATGATTTCGTTTCTCTTCTTCCCCAGGTGAAGAAGATTTTCATACCTCGCAATGAAGACCACTTCTTTATCGTACCTCTTTCTCTCATTATCTAAAACCCTCTTCAAAGTCATGATTTCCTCCAGCCATTTCTCTTCAGTGGCAAACCCTTCAAAGCTTGACACGTAAGCAAAATGCTCGGCCATATCTTGAATAAACAAGCCACCTTCTCTTGGAGCTGGAGGCCGGTTTGAATTTTCATAGGGAAGATGCAGCGATAGGACGAACTCTCCGACGCCCAATTCTTCGTCTTCTCCCAATTCCATTCGCAGTTTAAGCGGACAGGTCAAATCCATGAATTTTTCCGGCCCGTTTTTCCCATTGAAATAGCGAGCGAGGGTCTTTTCACCTTTGCTGAGTCCCTTGTTGACGTCCATTTTTTCCATTCGGGCTGAAATCCACGTCGCATGTTCATACTGACGATACTCGTAGTCTTTCGTGAAGTTCATGACGCGAAACTTTGGACCATCTCTCCCTCGGTAGTATTTAGGTTTTCGAAAAGTTTGTTCTTCCCCCTCGTCCTCTTCATCTAATGGACCTGTTCATGGACATAACCCCATTCTGGTCAACCTTCTCTTTAGTGATGCAATCCTCAACTATTTACCCTCTCACAAACTGATATTTCTTCTCACAACGCAACTCATTAATCAGCTCAGTACTATTTAATTAATCTCAATCACGTCCAGTTCGAAAAGTGATTGAGGTAATTCAAACAGAACTGATACAAACTATTGGCTCTCAATTCAATCTCTTTCATTTAAAAAGACTTCAGGGAAGATGATATACCCGAATAAGTCCCTATCACAAATAAACTGTACATCTTTAATACTTAAAGAGGAAATGTGAAAACCACAAACAATGAGAAACGGCACAGCAGAATCATAGTTACACGAAACTGATATAATTATTATGTTGAAGGGGTTGCAAGCTCAGGTTCAAACGATACCACCGTTTTTATTTTTGAACTTATCTAAGTATATAAAGAGAACTCTCGAAATCAAAGGTCTTTATAATCAGTAAACAGTGATAATTTTTCGCACTGAATAAAAATATTACCTGTTTTTTCAGAAGAATTTCTCGAACTAAGCACAAAAATCGTATTTTGAATTATTAATTTCGTTTTCATTGCCAGAGAGATTGTTTGCATCATTAACAACTAAAATACAATGCGTTCCCCTTTTGTTTCGATTATGTGAAAGGGGAAACGAAAATTTTGAATAGCAATGGAAAACTGAGGGCGTAAATTGCTTCAACTTCATAGAGAAAGAGAAAAGTATCTCTGGTAAAAAAATAAAAATAAAAAAAGAAGAGGAAACTATATTTTGTTTTTGATCATGTCAACAAAATATGTAGAGAATTATTCCGGGTGGATAAGAAGATCTGTTGAATTATATAATTAAGTGCAAATTCCTCTACTCCAGCTGTTTTCATGTTTACACTTCATTGTCAAACAACTTTGTATACGAACTAATATGAAAGACCATGAAACATTAATAGAAAAGAACCGCATTATGAACGCTTCACCTAAATACCGGATAATAACTTATTCTTTGTTTCCTTGTTTATCACCTTTGTTGGCTCGACAAGCTAAAATTAATTTGAATTATGAAAATACGATGAAGGCATATTAACATTAGTTCCAAATTTTCATAAATGATTTAGCGCCATGTGGGTTTTAAATCTGTTACCAAAGGAAGAAGGGACACAAAAGTAAGGGGGGCAGTAGGAAGTGCTAAAATGACCCAACCTACCCCACCCCTCTCCATGGAAGGCAAAATTTATATTTCCAAACCTTTATATTTAAGATTTAAAGGAGAAGTTTCTGCCCCTGTCGCTGGCGCTTCACCCCACACAACCAAGAGGGTAGGAGACGTTAATTTCCCACGCACGAGATCACTTTTGAAATCAGATAATTCTGAAAATTGTCTGATTTCAAAATAAAATCTGCTATTGAACAACACTTTTGGTACATATCAGCCTTTAAAATAATATTTACCGTTCTAATGAAGAGTCCCAAGCGTCGCAAAGTCTCAGGTGAGGTCTAAATCTAAATCTAAATATCGTTATGTCGGCAAAATCGTTTAGGACATCACGCCAACTCTAAGATAATAATAAGTGAAGCTATACTAAATATACAACACTATTAAAAACTATTGAAAATTATTAAAAACTATTTAAAACTACCGATAAATAAATTTAAGTTAGTTTGCTTTTAAAAATACGGAGGGATTGGCTGGAAACAGTTTCTATTGGGAGTTTGTTCCATTCAGTTATTGTCCTGGGTCGGAAAACTCATTTTTGTTTTCGCGTTTGGGAATGAAGTAACCCCCAACTAATTTCGTCGCTTGAAAGAGCTACGTAGTCATTGTTTTTCGAAACGAGTATTAAATAGCATATTTGCATTTCATTTTGGGCGCCAAAGGTCTACTTCAATCAGGATGAGAACGGAAAAACACTTTTTGAAACTCGGGGCTAAACTCGGTGGGACTCTCAGCCGAAGGGAAACTGCTCATGTTGTTATGGATGCACGGCCGTGCGGTACATAAGGATTTTTACCATGGCAGCCCTTTACCAAATAGAGAGGCGTAACAATAGAGACCTCAAGATACCCCGAAATCGGTGTAGGGGTTACGGGTAGCGCCATGTTTTTTTTTCATTTTGCGATGACGTCATCGATCTTACCCGGTTGACCCAGCCGTTTTCCCGGGGTAGAGACCAGTTTACCCGTAGAAGAATTCCGAGTACGGTAGTACGAGAAGGACGAGCTACATGATGGAGAAACGAGTGAGTTTTTAAGACGTTTTGAATTGTTTGACTCCTTGGCAATGTTATTGCAAGTCTGTTGAAATATTTTTCCCAATTTTAAATTTTAGCGGTAAAGAAAGCGCCTCAAACTGGATTGACTTTGGATCTCAAATGCGAGGGTTGAACTCTGAAACGATATCAATTTGTGGCGGTAATTTGGGGGATTTCTGAGAAGTGCTCCCACGGTTATGTCTCCCAAAAGCACTAGCATTGCAAAATATGGCATGGGAGTCAATGCTGAAGTTGACAATCAAAGAAATTGTTTGATGTTTCTCGATCAAATGGCGGGGAGGAGGAGCGGTATAATGAAGTTCATCAACTTTTAGATGATATCAGGGCTTATGTTGATGACTTACAGCAGCAGAGCAAGAAGGGCAAGAAAAAAATGAAGAGGATAAAAATAAACCAAAAGAATTTAGGGATAAGGCTTTGGAAACACTGAAGAGAAGTACAGCAGTTACTCACTTGACACTTAAATTTTAAAATTGAGGGATGCTAAAATTAACCATCCCTGTTCTGTTATTTTTCTTTCTCCAGAATCAAGTCCCTCAGGCAGTGGCAACTCGGATGACGAGGGAGCAGCTGGCCCCAGTGCCAGTAAGTATAACTGGTTGTGCATGCTACTACTTTTTTACTTGCGAATAAGAGTGTTATCCTCAGGAAGTGTTCAGTAGATGTATATTTTTCTCCAGCATTCCAGAGCCAGAACCTGGCCCAATTGTCTTATTTTCTAAAGAATTACCAGCTAGAATGTTACTACTCAAAGAATATTTAGGTAAAACTGGCCAAACCACCCCCTCTCCCTCAAAAAGTAAATATCATCGGAAAGTGCCATATTGCAAACACCCAAAAATTTCTTGTTCATTAAGATTCAGTTTTGGGGGCGGGGTGCAGTTTAATGCCCCCTTTTTTTGGGGAGGAAGGTCATTTTCATCTCTGATTTCTCTGTATGTCAAGTCCCTCTATGTTGGGTTTACTGTGGAATTAAGTAAATATCAAGCTGTTTGCATAGTGTCATTTATTTTGTAGTTTCAAAATGCCTTTAGTTATAACCTTGGTATTTCCTGTGAGAATAATAATTCACACAGATTGTGTAATTATCCTTTAATAATTATTATTGTACTAAGAAAGCCAAAAAAAAGAAAGCAACCAGGTTGACCAGATGTGATGTCATACCTGTCAAAAAGAAGGAGTTAGAACAAGCTCTGAGAACCCAGGAGCTAGAATACAAACGTGATGCACTTGAGGCTGAAACTAAACTTAAGCAAGAGCAATTAGAAGTTGAAAATAGATGCATTTCCCTCCAGGAGCAACAAGTGAACATGCAGCTTGAATTATTAAAAGCTTTTATGGGCTCCAAAAAGTAGCACTACAAAATTAATGTTGCATGCTGGCATGAGACTTCTTGTTGACTTTTTATGTTGGGTTGAATATTTCATTCTTGTGTAAGAGAAGTTAAAAAGTTATGGAAGTGGCTTTTTATCTGAGTACAGAAACTTATCAAAGTTTGATATCTGTAATTTAAGAATTCATGAAAAATGTAGGTAAAGTTTTTGAGTTAAAGTTGTATTTGTCAGTTTAATTATCAATTAAGGTATGTATGTAGGTCAGGGGGAGGCAAGGAAAAGTAATCTGAAGTTACACTACCTTATAGACAAGTATGGCAGTTAATCAAAATACGCCGACAACATATTATTTTCCAATTGGTTTCAAAAGGACTTTGAGATTTTTCCTAAAATCAAGAAATGCAAAATACTGCACATCCTTCCCAAATACCCATTCAACGGATTCCCAAACTTAACTCATTCTTTTGTTGAACAACTCTTGAGCTGGAGATAGCATTGCTCTTCTATAAGGGGTAAGTAAATGCTGTCAGAGAGGGTAGGCCAGATCTCCATACAGGCTGGATATATGTGGAGCCCTGAACTTTCCTTCAAGCCTGGGCATTAAATTACTCTCTTGAAGCATGAAGGCATCATGGTGATGTCTAGCAATTGGGGCCATATAAGTTTGCTATCAAACCATTTGGACAAACAACACTCTGAAAAATAAAACAATATTTAAGATATTTTTTAACTTCAGCATTTGCAAAAATGCAAATTAACACAAACTGGGTTAACATCCAATTATTAAATGGACAAAAAATAACATTAGCACTATATTTGGCCAGATGTCCTGTCTACCTGGAATTTCAAACCATGATGGCCTGCTTGTACCCAGAAAACAAAATTAGCCGGTTTCTTATGAGTTTGCGCCTCAGCGTGCCATCAATAAAACCCCAGTAGTTGTCTAGTGGTCTTCCAGCATTGTGAATGGCTTCTGCAAATGACTGCTGCATCATTCCAGTTCTGGTCCAAGTTTTCCAATGAGTGGTTCCACCTGATGTATATGTCATTCAGAACTTTTAAAAGGTGGGGGAAAAGGTCAATAAACAGGTGGCTTGAAAGAAGACATTTAGGGAGGTGTTTCAAATACATGGAATACCCTTAATTAGCTTTTGAAATGTTTTATAAAATATTAATACTAGTTAATACTACCAGGGAATACTAGTTCTGTCTATTATGTCCCACGTGTCTGAAAAATGCACTCAGTGATAAGGGTAGGGCCATTTATTTACACAGGTTAATC